CCCCGGAGCCTCCCGAGGCTCCTGGGCCTGGGGGCTCGTGAGGATCGACGTCTTCATCGCGCATCGCCCGCTTCTTCAGCATCACTCCATCTTCAACGGCACCAGGTGACATCTTTCTAAGTTCCGTTTTTAGCTGGGAGCGCCCACAGGTCCGCATCATTCCCAGGTCGCGTGGGTCCGTCCCTGCGGCATGTATCCGTTTTGCTTACGCTCTTTACTTACCTTGTTGGGGGCGCCCCTCGGGCCGCATCATCCCCGAGCTGCTCGGGCCTAGCCCAGCGGCGTTTGCTTTTCCCGCGTCTACTTAAAATGAATTTTCTCCTACATGCTTAACATACCCGACCTAATCGCCTCCTCGATTGATGCCTACCTATGGAGCCGCTCGCTCTGGCACGACATCTACGCACGGGCCCGTCCCTGCAACGCCGATAAATCTGAGTGGTCGAGCTCTGGCCGTGGCAGCCCCGCAAGGCGCCACCTCACCAGGCCCTCAGTGCCCCAATCACTCCCCCGGAGCGACCAAAGGTTGGCTGGCAACCGTAACAACAGGTCTTGTTTCTCTTTATGATTGGTGTGCAGGACCTACTCCAGGAGCAATGCTAGGGACGTCGCGAGCTGCCTCTCCCTCTCTCCGGCACGGACCGCTTGCACGTTAAAAGGGGGCGCCTGAGCATCGCGACTCATGGGCTCCTACTGGCTCTCCAGCCCTCACCCCCTGGCCTTGACCCACGGCATCACGACCTGTCATACCAGCGGCGGCTGAGCTTGCTCGAGGGCCGGGACCTGAGGATGTAGAGCATTAAGGGAAGTGCGGGGGAGTGGGAAGAAGCTCGCGAGGACCTAACTCAGTGGCGCCTCAGCTGCCACCACTCGGGCCGGGCGCTTCATCGAGGAACTACACCAAACTCAAGAGATAAGTCACGCCCTTACAAGAGTTGGACCAACGCAGCGCCAAACCCTCGCCCAGTGCGGCTCTGTCATGGCGACGTTGCCTTCCTTTCTCGCCCAGCGAGGGCTGCTTGAGCGCTGAAGGGGACCTCCCGAGCATCACGACTCGGGGGCTCTTACCGGACCTCGGGCGGCTCACCTCCTGGCCTTGACCACGGCATCGCGACCTGGCATACCAGTGACGGCTGAAGCCTGCCTAGGGACTGGGACCTGTCAGCGTAGAGCGCCAAGTCCTTGTGAGGATAGAAAGAGGGAGCCAAGCTGAGACAGGATAAGCACCTCGCATTGATTCATATTAAGGATATAATGTTCACAAAAGACATGGCATGCGCCTTACATACCCCCACAGGGTGTTGCTTTGATTCCTCGCAGGGAACAAGAGTACTAATCCTAAGGAACGCTAATCGCCCGCACCTCCGCAAGGGACGCCATCATCAACAGTGCGTCGCCCAACGCCGGCGCCAACCCCATCCAGATCAGTGGCGTCGGCGGCTGGACGCGGCTGCCCTGCTCCGAGCACGGCGCGACCTCGGGGGCTCGTAGCTGTCGTCGCTCGTCTCCGGAGTCGCGAGGAGCTCGGGGGAGCCACTGGATTCCCCAGCTCCTCCGCTGCCGCCTGAGGAGCTGCTAGAGGGCCGATGGGCGGGCCAGGTCCTCGCCGGTTCGTTGCCCCTACCGCTCTCCCTGAGGCAGCACTCCAGCCGGCGTCCTTCACCATCGAAGACCTTGAAGAACATCAGGGAGTCGCCATCGTATTCAAGATGAATCATGAGGGCACCTACCGTCCGGCAGACCCGGGCGATTTCGCCCCAGCCCCGGGTCATGAAGATCTTGCCCGGAGCGACGATCGCAACCTCCGCTCCGGTCGCAAGGGTACCGCAGTCAGCGTGCTGCAGGCAGAACTCCAGAGCCCCGCTCGGCGGCATCTCGAAGGCGAAGGAGGGAGGAAGGCGAATCCAAGAGCTCGGAGGCATGGCGGCGTGGAGCACGAGCTCGCGAGAGGAGCGCTCGGCGTGGACTCCAGGAGGAATGACACGCACCACCTTGACTCGCCGGCGTTGACGGCGGCATCGTTGATGTTGCTCGACGCCTTCCCCCCCAGGACCTACGACGCGGGCGTGCAAGGGTAGCGGAAACCCAGGCGGCGGCCGCTCGTACCAGGGCCTCGGTGCCTCCTGCCGAGCACCCTCTTCTCGGTGGTAGAGGACCGGCCGCTTCTTCGGCGGAAGTGGGTCAGGACCCTCTCGGGGGCCTTTCCCTTCTCTTCTGCAGAAAACCGGCGGATTGGTGCCATTGGCATAAGGAGGAGGAAGAATGAGGAAGAAGAAGGAAAGGAGCAGCAGGAAGGGATGGACTGAAGGGGCTCGCCCAGCCCCGTACTTATAGCCGGAGGAGGCCAACCGCCGAGCACCACGATCGCAGGTAATCATGACCGGTTTCTCTGCATGCAGGAACTTGTCAAGTCGTGCGGTCGCCGAGGCATCGAGGGGAAGCGCAGACGCCCATGTCCAATCAATCGCCACGCGGCGCCCAAGGCCGCAGGCTGTTAGGGCCCGCGGCGCTTCGTGCTTGCCCCTTCGCTTCCCTGCTAGGCCAAGCCCGGGCGCACCATGGGCCCGAGGGCTACTGTCGGCGTTCTGGGAACGGGGGTCCCCAGACTTGCCTGCCTGCGGCGTGGCTCAAGTGGGGGCCCAGCGCGGCCCATCTTCATCAGCTCAAGCTCAAGACCCTCGCGAGGGGCCAAGCTTCGCAGGACGGATGACGGAAAGCTTCCTCGGAGGCAGCCTCATCAGGCAGGCTCGCGAGGAGGCGGAGAGATCAAGGCGGGGATACTTTGCGAGGAGCCCATGACGCAAGCCATGACAATCGAGACCAGGCGGGCGCCAGCCTGCGCAGTGTCCTTATTTCCCCTTTGGTGCAAAGGGGGCAAGCACATGCCAAGGCATCGGGCAAAGGTTACCATTCCGGTGCAACGAGACCAAGACCAGCAGAGCGGTAGGACGGAGGTCACCATGGAGCCCAAGACGGCGTCATCACCAGAGCTTTTGGCAGCCGAAGACCACCTTTGGTCAGAATAACTTGTACTATATGTTCCCCTTCAAAATGGCCAATTATTGGCGCCCTTCCCGCTCATTATTTTGGGGAGAGGCCCAGGGCCGCTATAAATAGAGCTAGCCACCACAAAAGCAAGGAGACACCCCGGAGGGATGAAAGAGAGACATCGAGAGATCTGGTAGAACCCTAGCAGAGAGAGAAAGAGGCGACTGAACTCACCCAAGCAGTTCATTGCACCAGCTCAAGAACACCTCTCGCGAGGCTGTTCTTCCCTTGTACTGTTCATCATCAGCCCCTGAGGCAATCCACCACACCACACACTGGAGTAGGGTATTACACCACAACGGTGGCCCAAACCAGTATAAATCTCGTGTCCCTTGTGTTGTTTGTTGTTTCTAGCTTAGATCACGCGAGGAGATTGGACATAGATCGGTAGGGAGAGATCTCCGCGCGCACCCCAGTGTTCGAACCTCAAGGGTCTGCCGGAACCCGAAATCCGACAGAATCCCTTGAGTATGGCCAAATTTTCTGTCGAGGCCGCGTCCAGTACACATGATATTGGGTTAGCTACACCCGCAATAGCCTCGCCTAAGTTGTTGCGCAGAACCACACCTAAATCCATGCACTTAGAGGGTGTTTGTTTCCAGGGACTTATTGGTCTAGGGACTTAAAAAAGTCCCTATAAGTCCCATCTAAACCAAACAGGAGGGACTTATAGAGACTTAAAGTAGGCATTTGAAACTTATGAAATAAGACTCTCAAGAAGGGACTTATAGGGACTTATAGTTGTAATATGGTCTTATACAGACTTATAAGTCCCAGAAACCAAACAGGTAGGGAATTTTTAGGGACTTTGGACTTATAAGTTGGGGCTAAAAAAAGTCCTAGAACTTATGAACCAATCAGGGCTTTAACCATGGATTTATAGGTGCTAACATTCAGTCCAGTTTTGGGACCAGCTGCGCTCGGAAAAGGGAGTCATGGTGGCTGCTCCACCGATCTTCACCGACTCCCAGAGCGAGCTAGCCAACTGGCTACTTGGTTGGTTTGCCGCTGCTAATGACGACGAGAAGGAGATAATGATCCACGCATTATATGGCCTTTGGTTGGCCCGCAACGACACAAAGAATGGGAAACGTATTGATGCTCCACATGAAATTGTAGAACGAGTCTGTTTGTTTGTGAAGGAATGAAGGGAAGCCCATGTGAAGCCAGACAGTCAGACCAAACCTGCTATTATTCAGAGATGGCATGCGCCGGATGCCGGGTGGGTCAAAGCAAACGCTGATGGTGCAACATCACGACATGGTGGAAAGGGAGGAGGCGGTGTTGTGCTCCGGGATAACAACGGAGGCTTCCTCGCTAGTGCATGTCACTTTTTCCCCATGGCTGCTAACCCGGTAGTAGCAGAGATTATGGCATGCAAACGTGCTCTGTTGGTTGCGACAGAAATTAATGTTCAAAGGGTACACGTCGAGCTGGACAGCCAGGCCCTCGTATAAACTATCAACAAACCAGAGAAGAACATGTCTGCTTCAGGGCCTTGGCTAGAGGAGATCAAGACCATGCTACGTAGTTTTGTTGATTTTAGAGTCTCGTGGGTTAGACGTTCCGCAAATGTTGCCGCGCATAAATTAGCTAAGTTAGGGGTAGGAGAAGAACTATGTAAGGTTTGGTTTGGATCGCCGCCAGAATGCATTCTGGATGTGATTGCGGACGAGATTCCGAACTTCGTTTAAGAAAATAAAGCGGCGACATTTACCCTAAAAAAGAAAAGAAAAATCCATGCACTTAACCAAACACGCTCCAAACGAACTTTTTTCTCACGTGGAACAAACGGTTAAACACCCAGCCCCATAAAAAAAAAACACCCAGCCTCCATGCGGCTCGACTCTACTTCCCCATCTTCCGTCGGCCCGAGCCATCCGGTCCTCCCTTCCTGCCCCTAGCCGAACTCCTCCGCTTTCCCCCAAATCCGGCGAGAATCTCGGCACGCCATGACCTCCTCTTACCGGCCGGCCGCCACGATGAGCCCGGAGGCGACGGCGCCAGTACCCAAGGTGGAGGCCGAGGCGGCGGCGACGGCGGCCCGAAACCCTAGCTCCCCCAGCGGCCCGCCGTCGCCGGAGATGGAGGCCACGGCGGAGGCGCTCACGCGGGAGGAGGTGCTACGCCGGAGGCGCCGACGCACGGCGCGGCTCGTTGGTGTGTACCGCCGGCTGTACTGGGCGATGGCAGAGGAGGTGCGCGCGCGGCACCGCCAGTACGTCTGGGAGCTCGGCCGCAGTCCGCTCGAGGCCGAGCAGCCCCCGTCGGCCGCGTGCTCGGAGGCGAAGCCTGGGCCGGCGGCGGTGCCGAGGAGGAAGAAGTGTGGGTTCACGGGCTGCAAGGTGCGGGCGATGCCGATGGCCAAGTACTGCCACTCCCACATCCTCTCCGATCCCAATCAGGCCCTGTACAAGGGATGCGGTCAAATCATCAAGAGGTGAACCTCTTAATGCTCATAATACAGAGTAAAACTTGGAATCTTGGTCTGGTTAGAGTTCCTGTTTCGGTCGTGGTGTTTGCTCTGGATCTAGCCATCTAGGGATGTCTCTTTGGAGTTGTTTGATTGGCTGTCTCTCTTTCTGGTGTGATTGGATCAGTAGTTTTATTTGAAGAACGACATACTAGTATGCAGGTGGCATTTCTAACCTCTATACAACTGTATAGTGTACGAATAACACTACGATTTTTATTTTGGGTCAAGACTAAGGCATGATACTCCTAAAACACATTTATCTTTCCAGATAGAGTACTTAGCTATTCTTATACATTAAACTTGAGTTTTCTGTAGTATATATCACAGTAATAGAGTATTCTATGGCTATAATTCTATTTTTAGTGAGATGAATGACAGGAATCAAATCTACATCTTATACTTAATGCAAATGTGACTCTGAATATACACCTTAGCCTATTATAATATCTTATATCAATATGCTGTCAGTACTTTGGTTATCTAAACTCGCACGTGTAGCGTACTAGTTGTCAATTAGTGTGCTGTTCTATCTACTATAGCACGTGTAGCGTACTACTCCCTCATTTTAGTGCTAGATACATCCGTATCTAGACAAATCTAAGACAAGTAATTCGGAATGGAGGGAGTAGTTGTCAATTAGTGTGCCGTTCTATCTACTATAGGTTCTTGTAGCAAAAAAAAAAAATCCCCAATCTACGCTAAACATAAATAATTGTACCCAGAATTAGGGTTTTACCGCAATGCTTGATCTCCTGTCTTGTTTGTGCACTGATGTACCTTGGATGAGACTTTGAACCAAAGTATTCTTTGAGTTTTTACCAATTTGCTGTGTAGATTTGAGCTTCTCATTCTGTCATCTGAGAACAGAAATGTTTATGCTTCGAGTTGTGGGATTACCTAGGTTTGCGATTAGTATGATTTGCTTATTCTTTAGGATCATATTTTCTGAAATTCAAGTGTTTGTAGTTTTTGCTGCCACCAATGTACTTAATTATGTCTGAGAACGAGTCATCACTTCTCTAGGCCTCTTTCTATTTACTGAAATTTACAGTAGCAATGCTAACTAGGTTCTTGATAATGTTTCAGTGGTGCACAGATTGGGCAAATTACTTGCAGCAGGCCCATCCTAAAAGCTTCAGTTCCCTCCCTCTGCAATGTTCATTTGCAAAGATCTCAGAAGAACATATCACAGGCTTATAAGAAAGTTGGCTTTAATCCACCCCCTATTGGCCAGATCTCCCCAGATTTTAGTGTCTTAGTTGCCGAATGTGTCCGTCAGATCCAGGCCAGGAGGAGAGAATCCCGAAGTGTTGTAGCAGGGAAGAAATGCCCCAAAGATGGGAAAGTTGGCTGAGCTATACCCTGAGATCTCATTTGTTACATAAACTGTAGGAAAATGTCAGGCATCCTGAGGTTTACCGAGTGTTGATAACTAACCCTGCGGGTTACTGCACTCTTCCTTGAAAGATATGGAATATTGAAAATATATGTGGCGTGCAGCTGTGCATGACTGGATGACGACATGACCCTGATGGTTGTCAGTTACAGCAAATTTCATATGAAGAGTTTATCCAACGAGCTAGTGGTGGAGTGTCAAGTATCAAGGTTGAGGGTTCGCAAAATGCACACATGTCAGGAGAGCATTTATGTATCAAAATGCTTCTGATGACTTCCTGAACATGCTGCAGGATTGCCATGGTTAATTTTATTCATCTTCTGATGGTAATTTATCCTAAATGAAGGCCTGAGTTAGATTTACTGGGTCGGTTCATTGCCAACTGCCGATTTTGAAGAACATGGTGAGTTGTGAAGCGTGTTCAGGTTTCACATCCTGAATTGGTTTTAAACTGAGTACCTCTTTTGAAGTAAATAATACTCCCTCCGTTCCTTGATATAAGGTGTATAGATTTTGTAGAAAAAGTTCGAAATATAAGGTGTCTTGCGTTGCACCACTTGTTTGAATATTTTTTTTAGGGATTTGATTACATTTACTTATATTAGGCAAACTCCTCTATTTTCTCATGTCAATTAGTCAGGTGTAATCTCGCCCAAAACTTGTGAAATTTTCACTCCACGTGCGTTCTTTAATTTTCGTGCCAAAAACTATACACCCTATATTTAGGAACGGAGGGAGTATGCTTTTTTCAGCTTGGTAATGTATACTGTGTGATGGCTGTCCTGTTATTCAGCTTGGTGTTTCTTTAGATATGTTATTGGAAAATGTCCACCTTGTGAAGTATACACCGTTCCTATTTTTCCAGATGAAATCTTCACCTTGTTTACGGCACATACTTCTTCAGAAAGGATTGAGATTGTTGCTTTGTGCCAAGGATGCTATGGAGACAGTGGTTTTGTGCCAATCCTGAAGGAGCCATTCAAATAAGGTACTATGAGGAGGGAATAGCATGTACATGTTGATGTTTATGACATGGATGAGGAGAGGGCATGTACATGTTGATGTTTATTTTTGCCTGATTTAGTTGGAATGGTTGCATTGTACGGAAGATGTCCACAGAGGACCCTGCAAGCAGTATGAGATGTTGCTGCATTGCTGATATTGATGCAAGGGAGGAGCCATACATACAAAGGATAGTTGCCTGGTACTGCAATCAAATTTAGCATCTTTGTTGCATGAATAGTTACTTATGAATTAATGGATGTTGTGGTACCAGCAACACATGGATGTGCATGCTTAAGCTTATATCAAACTAGTGGACCTGTTGCGCCAAATGGCGCAGAGGCACGCTAAAGCCATGTCCGCGATGAAAAAAGTTCCATGGTTTAATCCCCTCTAATAGGAAACATAGTGGAATGTTGTGTATAATGATATGAATATACACGGCTTAACTTAATAGTATAGTCTAATTTAAAACAAAAATACATGCGTTGGTATGAAAAATTAAGATAGAATTGTCTTTCAAAATCTATACAATGACTTTTTTGAAAAGGTTTATCTTTCTCGGTAAAAATATTTTTTAGCAACCACTTAGGCGTAGAGTCTCATTTCAAACTATGATTGCTTTGAAAATTGTAGTGTACAATGATATAATAGATCCTTATGTATGAAAAGAAACATGTATTTGTGGCGAAAGTACATGCCCTATTGCTTAAAAACATATGCATGTCTTTTATTTGCTCCTTTATTAATTCGCTAAAAAATGTGAATGTGTAATAGCATTTAGAGAGTATTTAAGGTTTCCTAGGCTAGCCCGCTTGGTGTCTGGCTCTCGAAGAGTTTTCCTGGGCTGGCCCGCTCGGTGTCCGGCTCTCGAAGAGTTTTCCTGGGCTGGCCCGCTCGGTGTAGAATATGAAGCGGCAGGGTATCGATCAATTTGTTTATCCCCTCTTCTTCCACAGCTTCAGGCTTTCTTTGGTTTAGAGGAATTTCATAGAAATTCTAGAGGATAGGATTCTTATAGGATTTTTTCCTTTAGAGCCCTTTGGTTCATAGGAATGGATTCCTATTCCTACATAGGATTGGTTTCTATCCTACACATTTCATAGGAAAATAAAAAAGAGCCTAGACTCAATGGAAAATTTCTTTTGGTGTCAACCAAATGACATCTTGTTTCCTATTCCTACTCATAGGATTTGAGATACATGTCATCTCATTTCGTACAAGATTTCTATTCCTATGATAATCCTATCCTATGAACCAAAAGAGGCCTCATTCGGTGAGAGAGGCTCTTCGTGTGGCTCTAAATCTGGTGAGATTCCTGTCCCTTTCTTATTGCCTCGAACTGCTTCGATGCACAGATATGGCCTGCATTCGTCTGGACTAATACATGGATTATTAAAAATGTCTGATTGGCCAAACGCATGCGAAATAGCTACTGCATCTTGGAAGTTCTTGACCATATAACGTCGGCCACCAGTAAAAGAGGACGGAAGTATGTTTTTCTTACCAATAGAACTTGCATCTGTATACCCTTTTCCAACAGCATTAGTAACCCCTTGCAAGTTTTCCGCTCTAAGATCATTATTAGCCTTCATGATAAAATGCAACCTCCACTTGTCTATGCAAGCATGTGCATCTACAATGGCCTGTGATGAGAGCAAACCACAACAAAGATATGGATTATGATGCTCTGGTCTGTAGTGGAGGCAATAGGATGGCAATAGGAATAATAATCCTTCATGCTGAGCCTCGTTCTTTTGCTTGTATCAAGAGGGTATGAACCAATATATCTAATCCCAAGCTGAAACCCACGCTCCACATAGGGGAAGAGAAGAGGATACTGCAAAGGCATATATGTACTTTGCAAAGAAGATATTTGCTGCAGATTGTCATCTCTACCATGTATTATTATGCCACGATAAGAAGCCTCCACCGTAAACACCAAACATTAAAGAAGCTAGCTCGTCAGTCATAGGAAGACTGAACGTATGGCTATCTCAGCATGTTTATTGGCTTCTAGTATTTCTCTAGTTGATCAAAACGTTTTGACAGAAGAATTGTGCGCAGCAAGCATGTGCATCAAGCCTTCAACAATGGATTCATCTAAATCACCATTACACTTTTCACCCTAATCTAAAGCTTAAATCATGTTCTTTATCTCATTCTGGGTATCATATATATAGAGAGTTCGGCATACTTTGGGGTGTTTCCTTTCTTAGGCATAAGAGACCCCATTCAATGACAAACCCGACCATTTATTTTGTATATATTTGGGCCCTTAACATCATCTACCGAACGGCCAACAGTAGTTCCCATGGAAGTAAACGCAAAGAGGCAGTTGTATTGGTGTATCTTTTCTATAAACTCTTTGCCACGAGGACTTCCAAGATGCAGTAGCTATTTTGTGTGTGTTTCAATTCAGAGCATATATTCAAAAAATCATCATCAGAGAGCCCCTTAACCAAGTTATTTCTTTTTTTAACTGAGCCTGATCAAAAGGAGAACCTAGTTACCATCATTATAATTGACATAATAAGTTTAAGGTCTATGCCCATTCTCCCTACAACGGACTCTATCATAGATAATGATCATGGGAGGATAAATTGCATGAATGCTAGCAAGTATAGACGTAGTAGTAGCAATAGAACATAATGAAACTTGCAACATCTCGATGTATTTCTTTGACCTTTCTAGGTCTTTTTGTCCACAATTTCACTCATAATAACTTTTTCTCTATCAAAGTTCTGCAAGCAAACAATGCAGAAGCTATTCTTCAACAAAACATGACAAACTAAAAGGAAATGATCCAGTACCTCAGTTATTTCACTTTATAAGGTTGCAAATACATGAATGTGTTTATAAATCAATACATGTAGTCTCAGACATACTTGATAACACCGGTGTGCACCATTTTTTCTCTAAAATATGAACCATAGTTCGTAAGCTTGAGATATATGCATACAAAGTAAAAAAGTCCAAAGAGCATAAGATAGTAAATAAGAAAAACCAAACCAGATTGGATAACTACAGGCAGATTCAAAGAAATGGTACTGATTTTATGCTTCAGTATTTATGATATGCCGAACCTACATAACATACTGGAATCCGATCATGACTTAACTCTATATAGCTATATATACTCTACTGCTCCAAAAATTAATATTCTTGTGCTTATTGAAGTATAAGATTCTGCAAATAGCTCGAGCTAAATAATCCAGATAGGTGAAGTATGGGTGGCACAATGGATCAAAATACCAGTACATCACATCTACATAGATACTGCTTTCTGAACAGATTCTAACTAATGGGTCTTACTGTCAGCAAACTCATGATTCCCAATAACATACCAGAATATTAATTTCCACAGTACCAGAATATAGGCTGTACCTTTAAATGTTGATTTTAGTCGCTTTCTTTTAGATTTTCCTGCATTGACAAGCTTATCCCTAAAAGCAATGTTCAGGATATCGGTAACTGGTACCATATTGGTTGGATGCCGAATAGAGATACATAGGTGAATTTTTCAATTATTCGGTTGATAGATCAGTTATCCGCCCGATAAATCAGTCAATCGGCTATTCGGTGACCCACCGAGTAGCGATTAACTGACTGAGATGCCGATTAACTGTACGATATTTGGAACAATGCCTGAAAGTACAGTTAGCTGCACCTCTGATATATGGGATACTTCTATAACAACCCTATATATATATACATTCTGAACAAAGTCATGAACAGAGCATTGAGGAATTAGTAGAACAATTTCATGCAAGAAGAAAGAACCCACCCACATATGCTTGCTTCCTATAATCCCTGCAAATCGGAAGAAACCAATGACATATGGAGATGCATAAATAGCAAGATCAGGAGGAGATTATCGTGTGATGGGGTGTGTGTGTGTGTAGAGAGAGAGAGAGAGAGAGATCAGGAGCGGAGGGGAAGCTCACCTTGTCATC